ACTCCCATGGCTTATTAAAGGCAATTCCAAATCTAGATGCTATGCTAGCAAGGTTTTTGAAATTTTTAGGCTTATTGACTTTTACATTATATCAAAAATTAATCATGCTTATGTCAAATTAAAAAAAAAAAAAAGCATGGTTAAGCCAATGTACAATCAATGCCTAGCAATCTGACTTTAACAATAAAAAATTTCATTATAATTGTAACAAATTTAATTAATTAAGTACTTATTACAATCTAAAATACACATATTTTAAATTATTCAAACTTTTTTTAATTTCTTCTTTTCCTTTTTGTTTTGATTTTCTATCACTATTTAAAAAAAAACCCGAAAGTGAAGATTCCCCTCTGGTAGAAAAAATCCATGTTAACTTTGAATTGATCTTTATTTTGAAATGACAAAAGTTAGTTAAATGGCTTGATTAAAGTTTTAATTAGTACAAGATATTAATTGATAAAATTTTTTTGTACTAAATAAAAATAATGTTTTTAATTTTATTATATTTGAAAAATCTAGAAATTTTGGTTTTATAAGTTTTACTTATATTTAAGGATTCTTGAAAATTTTGGAATTTGTTCCCAATTTAGGGATTTTTAAATCTTCAAGATGTTCACATCTTTGTTATTGGATTTGTGGGAACACTAAGACAATTTGGTCCTTCAAATCATTTTTTTCCCTAAAATTTTTCTTGAAAATTAATGTTGAAATCTTGGAGATTTTGTTTTTCCAAACTTCATTATTAGACTTGTGACAGCTCTAAGGACTTTTATTTTTTTGGGTAAGAAATAGTAATGATTTAATTATAAAATAGTATGTACATAACATGTCCAACTTCATTAACAAGAACCAATTCTTTAATAAAGGAAGGAGGTTCAATAAACATCACATAATTGGCCTCAAAATGACTATAACTATTACAACAACTGCTACTACCAAACTAGGCAAAAAAGTCAATGCACCTATTCCCTTCCCTGAACACGTACGGCATGTGTTGATCTTTATATCCTCTATCAACTTCCTATAATTAGAGACCAAAGGAAGTAACATGGGATTAGTCACTTGATGGTTCTTAACTATGGAGATAACAATGGTGGCATCGAGTTTAATTTCCAGCTTGTGGATGTTGAAACTCTTCACCAAAAATAGCCATCTTTAAGAGCCCACAACTCAGCCAAAATATTCAAACCCATTCCCATATATCTAGAGGAACCAACAATCCATTTTCCTTTACTATCTCAAATAATGGTTTTAGCTCCTACTTTCCTAGGGTTGCCTAAGGTTAAGCCATCTGTGTTCAATTTAAACCATCCTTCATTGGGATGGTTTCACTTGGTGACACAAAAGACTGTAATTGAACCCAAACTCCTCTTTAGTTCATCGCAAAAAATTCAACAACCTTTGCAGTCACCAATTTTACCAAGTCTAACGTCCCACCATTCTATTTGAAAATCCTTCTATTCTTTTTAAGCCAGACCTCTAATAGAATATGAATAAACAACAGGTACCATGGGATACCATGCATAGATCAATGCTTGTTCAAAGTATTTTCTTTAATCCATTCTAGGACTTGATGGGATAGAGGTAATGAGGCTCTTTGTAAGATAGCCCATATGTTCTTGGTCCACTGGCAATTGCAAAATAGGTGTGCCAATTCCTCCATTTCATGCTTGCAAAACACATAAGTAATCGGGATGTTTAACCTTCTTCTAACAAGCTCATTACATGTGGTAAGATATAGTGCATGCATTGCCAAATGAAAAACTTAATTTTTTTTCAATGCCTACAACTTTCATAACCACTCTCATTAACCTTTATCCCCATTCTGATTGGTTCTTTAGCAAGTTCATGTGTAGATCAGATAGTGAATACCACACTAGATGATACAAACCAATATACAGCATCATGTCCCTGTCCCCCCTAGTTGAGTAGGGATAGCACTTATCTTATCTAAAACATCATCATTGAGTTGCAAAGCAATTTGAAGAGGTTGATTATTTTTTATTGCATTCAAACACTAACTCATTGAAACTTGATCCTCTTACCAATTAAGATGGACATTAAAAGCATCTCTCAAACAACTAGACCCCAACCAATTATCATGCCAAAAGCTCATATATGAGCCATCACCAATAACCTAGCCAATACCTTTTTCAACAATCGGACCTACCTATCTCATGGCTTTCCACGTCATCAACACTCTAGAAGCTTTCCTCATAATGTCATTTTCTTGGAGATACTTCCTTTTCAGTGTTTTAACCCATAAAGCATCCTTTTAATGAAGAAATCTTCAAACCAACTTAGCTAATTATCTTGGTTTTGAGATCGAGTCTCCTTTAAACCCAATCCACCTTCACCTTTTTTTTAGTCACTTTACTCTAGTTAAATAGGTGCAATCTCTTCTTACCCTCATTTTTCCCTATAGAAAATCCTTATTGACCCTATCTAATTCATTCAAAATGCTTACTGGAAGGCTCAACACTGCATATAATAATTGGGGATGCTTTCCATAGTCGACTTGATCAACACTATTCTTCCTGCAAAAGAAAGTAGATTTGCCTTTTAACCAGTTAACTTCATTATGACCTTGTTGACAATGAAAGCATGATCCTTCTTACTAACTCTTCTTTTATGGATAGGAAAACCCAGGTATCTTCCAAGATCAATGGTTTTGTTAATGCCCAAAAGGTTAGTAATATCCCTTTTGTAATCTTGTCTAGTGTTGGCAAAAAAGAAAACTCTGGATTTTTCCAAATTAATGGTCTGCCCAAGCTCACTATAAAATTCCATAAGTACCTTCTGCATAGATCTAGCAATTTTTCCTTTTACTTTACCCAAAAGAATAATGTCATCTGTGAATATGACATGAGATAGCTTAGGGCCATTTCACAAACTTTTAGTAGGCTGCCATATATGGTCTTCTATAGTTTGAAGAATTTTTAAACTTAAAAATTCCATGCACAAAATAAAGATGTAAAGGGACAAAAGATCCCCTTGTCTTAAACCTCTTGAAAGTTTGAATTTTTCTAGCATTCTTCCATTCATCAAAATGAAAATAGATGAGGATAAGACACAACTCATGAGTAGGGAAATCCAGTACTTGGTAGAATGTGAAAGGTAAGCACCTTCCTAATGAAACTCCATTCAAGCCTATCATAGGTTTTTTCCAGGTCTAGTTTAACTATCATATGTCTCAGTCATCTTTTTTTAGTTTTAAATGAGTGGACAAGTTCCTGAATGATAATGCAATTATCATATCCATTTCTACCAGAAACAAAGCTAGCTTGGAGAGGTGAAATCAACTTGTCCAAAAAGGCCTTAGTCTTTAAACCATAATCTTTAAGATAACTTTTTAGGTATATTACAAAGACTTATCGGCCTGAACTAGTCTATCTAAGTGGGATTATTACACTTGGGAATCAAGGAGATTAACGTCTCATTCAACTTTTCTAGCATGGATGCCAACTCGAAAATATGTTTGATAGTGGCATAAATTTTATCCTTCATAAAATTCCAGCAACGGTGGTAGAAGAAAAGGTGGAAACCATCTAGGTTAGGTGCTTTGAAGGACTTGAAGCTCTAAAATGTTTTTTGAATCTCCAAATCTGATACAGGTTCAACAGATCATGCTAATTTTGTGTGCTAAGCTTAACAACAAATCGAGGTCTGAGAGTGACCAGATGGGAGTTTTGGAGAGTGGGAAGAAGTATACAACTTCATGAAGTGATCTTGGACCACTAGGCTAAGATCTCTAGGGTTAGTAATCCATATTCCATCCTTCATTAGGCTAGAAATTCTGTTATAACACCTTTGTAAAATGGTAGAGATATAGAAAAATCGAGTATTTCTTTCTCCTTCAATAAGCCAATTCACCCTAGATTTAAGAATCTGAATATCGTTCTTTGCTTTGAGGATGCCATTAAACTCCTCTAAGAGGGTTCCTTGAAGGTTCAAGAGGAACTAGTTTAGTGAATTTCCCAGGGCTTTCTCAATGCTTGACAATCGAGCAAGAATTCTTCTCTTCTTTAAAAAATATTACCAAAGGAGCTCAAGTTCCATTCATGCATGTCTTTCCTAAAGTCAACAAGGATTGAGCAAAGGACTTTGAATGTTCAGATCTTTTACTTCACCAAATTCTTTCAAGTTTTTCTTTCCCTGAATTGTGTGTCAAAAAACTTAGAAGATATTTTTATTTATAGTGTAGGTGATGCTAAGAGAGAGAGAGTTCAGAAAGAACTTAACCTAATTCATTTTATCTTTAAATTATGTTAATTTAATTAGAATAATAGATTGTGACTTATATGTGTTATTTAATCTGATAACCCATGAGTTTTTGAAATTTAATCGGCCAGATTTGGATTTATAACTAAATCATTTTAATTTAATTTAGAAGTAAATCGGATAAATCATAAATTAATTTTGATATGTTGGACTATGAGTCTTCCATATTTGATTGGCCTAACCTTGTGTCTTTATCTTGATCTACAAAGTGACTTGTTAAATTTTCAATTAATTTATTTAATAATATTTAAAAATTTAATTGATCATTAAATAAAATTAAAAGAAAAATTTTGGAGGAACTGTCGCTTATGAAATTTTTATGATCACATAAATAATCAACCTTATACTAATTTCATTTTAAATATATCACAGATATTCATTAAAGATATTCAATAATGCTGGTCAGGCCACTTCTTCAGAATTAGAAGCAAGGTAATACACTGAAGAGAGCAAGCAAAAAATAATAAAACTTTTACTATGCAAAACAGCATGTATAAATCTCCAATGTTCAAGCGGCTATATGCCAATGCCAACTGCTTGTGTTTCATGTTTCAACTTGAACACTAATTTAATTTAAATCAAAGGAAAGAAAAGCTGAAGAGAGCAGCTGAGAAATTTATTTTGCATGGCTTCCCCAGATACCTCGATTCGATCTGCAACTTGAATAATTTTAGCGAAGTTGTTTCATGCAACTGATTTTAAACCTTGTTGGAAGCATCTCAATCCCTTGTGTTTCCCTTAATATTTTGAGCTTTAACAACTTCTCCAATGTTGTTTGTGTTGTGCTCTGGTAGTTTAAGTTTTGGGTTTTCCGCCACTTTTCTGGGGTGGTTCTTGTAGATTGCATAAATTATCATTTGAAGAATTCCAAAGATAAACCCAAGTATGTTTGGAATCTGTTGATTGGATATTAGCCCCAAAACAAAAAATAATAATAATTAGAAAATCAAAGAGAATTTATACTGTCTAAATTAATTGATAGAGAATGAGATTACATACAGCAATGATCATATCCTTCAGCATAAGGCCATAAATAAACCACAGCACTGCTCCTAAGGTGAGGAACATTGATAAAGTAAATGGCATGTACTCAACACTCTTGGTTTTTATAACTTTTCTCTGCATAATTGAAAATTAATTGACTTTTACAATGAATATATAGTAGAAAAGGGTACCTATAAAGATATTTAACAATATATGCTCACCACAATGCATAGAGGTGCAACAAACACACTCAAAGTGAATGCCACGCAAATATATCCGAGAACTCGAAGACGGATCATGGGGTTTTTTAGAAAGATAGTTGAGAGAACGATTACTCCGAACCCAAAAACGCTGAAGAGGAGAATATGCATGACAGTCACGACCTGAAATGCCCCCATGCATTTGTAGGATTATAATAATTGATGATCATATATTACTATTCTTGGGAGGGTAATCAAGCTTTGCTAGATCATAATACCTTCTCCTTCTTGGGAGCAAAGTAAAAGTAAGTAACAATGTAAAAAATCTTAATGACACAGCGGAAAGTGTTGATGGTAATGAGAAGCATCGCGTTGTTCTTAAGGAGTGCATAGTAAATCCAAATTATCGCACTGAGTAGGGAAACCACGTAGGGCATTGACTGGAACCCTTCCGATGTTTTTTTCTTGTATATTTGGTAAAATGTTGGCCTGGAAATTATAACATGGATCACATCAGAAATTAAGTCACTGCAGTAAATAATGCGAAAAGAAAAGCAGAAAACACACACTTACAGGGGAGCAAGGGAAACCAAAAATGAAACAACGTTACCTAAAACAAGAAAACAAACATGGGATATTAGATACTGATAAAGAAATTCTCATGGAAGAAGAAGAGAGTATGAATACTTGAATACCTAGAATGCCAAAGACGAAAGCCCAAGACAAGTGATGAAGATCCATATCTCTGTTGCAATTAAATTCCCTTTAATTTCTTTTTCTTTCAAAAGAAAGTGTTTGTTTTTGTCAAGTGAGGCTCTCTTACGACTCGTTACTCTCAATCCCAGGGTTGATATTTATAGTGTTTATGGAAGGAAAAAGAAATATGGTCAAGAAAAATGAAACGATAATTCAGTCTATACAAACATCTTAAAATATTTGACATTTACAAATATGCGAATAGCTTTTCGATCGGTCAAATAACCTTCCCATCAGGAAAACCTATTCCTCCCTACCTAGCTTAGATACAAATAAATTGTTACGAAGAATTTTGTCATGTAAGTAATACTTATTTTGTAAATAACAATGAAGCTAGACAATAAGCTTGACTATACATTATTACCCTTTTAATTGTTTCCTTTCTTTGTTTCTCACCTTTGTTTGTACAGTACTTGGTTTCTTTTTTCTAAATAATTTAATACTAGTTGTTTTTCAAGTTAATTACTTGTTGTCAAGTTAAAAATTATAGTTCATCTTTTGAGCTTAAAGGGATTGATCCCTCCCTTAAAAAGATCAATCTTGGCTTTCTAATGACTAGTTTTATAAATGTTTAGCTTAGAGAATCAATCTCCAGTGTCCCTGTAACTTCACAACGGTTAGTTTTAAAGTGTCTCAACGGTTCTTTTTTCCGTCCAGTCAACTCTAAAAGTTCTAATAGTTTTCCATCTATAAATAGAGTGTCTCCAACGCTTTTGAAACTACGAGGCATCAATTGCAAGATCTATTCAACAAATTCTTCCAGCACTCAATAGCTTTTAAGTGTGTTAGAGCTTTCGTTTTTCAAATTTTTGTGTCCAACCTTCATTAGTCTCTCATTGTTCTAAATTTACAAATGCATAACCTTTATTATTAATATATCAAAAGCAATTTAATACTATAATTTGGGGTAAATTTCATCAATTGTCTCGAAATCTTTTATTTTGGTTCCACCAAGGAAAATGGAGAAAGAGATACTTGAGAGATAGTTGAGACACGTGGATTTTCTATTTAAAAATATAACAGTAGCATAAGTAGGAAGAATATTAACATGTGGCTATATGAAATTTGTCATTTATTTTCTATTTATTTTGTAGAGTATATAATCCACTCATTTCCGAAAAGGGTAGTAAATCAAAAGTAAATTAATTTGGAAGCCAAATCTATTGCAATAATTAAATTACCCTTAAATCTAAGGCAAATCTATGACTTGAAAGGGACTAATCATTAGGATCAAGTCAGTAGTATGATAGGTCAATTAATTGCATTATTAATTAAACGTACAAATATTGAGATTTGCATCTGATTTAGACTTACAGGATAACTAGCGACGGTTTAATTGTAGTTATGGATAATAAGGTTCAAACTCTAAAGTAATATGGATGGATAGATTCACTTCTCATAACGATGACCTACATCAAATGGCAAGGTAAAATAAAGTGAGCAAAAGAAATCTTATTGGGACTTTCGAACGTAAAGAAAGATACTTTTGAAAATGGTATGTGTTGGTTATTTTTAAGAAAGGCCTTGCGAAGATCTAACTTTCCAGCCTAACTTTTCAAAAGGCTCTTACTCTTATACTTCCGGTGAGAGCGGAAATAGGTCGTTCAAAGGATCATATCTTCTATAATTAAAAGATTAATGATGTTTGCAATTGCATCATTTTATTCCTTTCTGCTTCGGGTACTTTTTATTTTAGCAATGAAAGGTAATTGAGAATTTAATAGATGATAGAAATTCGATAATTTTATGATTGGTTAATATATATTTTTTATTTTTAAGTGAGAATATATTTTTAAATTCTATCAATGTGTTAAAAATTTTAGGGAAATTATCAATATTATAGTTTTACATTTACTTTTAATAATAAATGTGAAAAATTGAAAATGGTGGTACAATATATATAAAAGAAGAAGAAATTTTTAAAAACCAAAAAGGGAGAATTGGTGATAATAAAAGAAATTAGGGGAGTTGAGTTTAGATATAAATGAAAGATCATTTTATCACGTTTAATTTTTTAATTAGTATCTTTTTGAATGGATGTCATAAAGATGCTAATATCTTTCTTTATCATGAAAGCCTTATACTTACCTCCCTACCTAGCTTAGATACAAATTAATTGTTACGAAGATTTTTGTTATGTAAGTAACACTTATTTTGTATGGAATAATGAAGCTAGACAATAAGCTTTACCATACATTATTACCTCATTAATTGTTTCCTTTCTTTGTTTCTCGCTTTTGTTTGTATGGTACTCGGTTTCTTTTTCTAAATAATTTAATATAGTCGTGTGTCAAGTTAATTACTTGTTGAATAAAATTCATCTTTTTTGTCAACTTAGAAATTATAATTCATTTTTTAAGCTTAAAAGAATTGATCCCTCCCTTAAAAAGATTGATTAGTTTTCAAGTGTCTCAACAGCTTCTTTTCTCTGCCCAATCGAGTCTAACAGCTCTAAAGGCTCTTCAGCTATAACTAGAGCATATTTAATATTATATTTTGGAGTAAATTTCATCCATTGTCCCGAAATCTTTTATTTTGGTTCGATTAAGAAAAATGGAGAAAAAGACTTGAGAGAGATAATTGAGACATGAGGATTTTCTATTTAAAATTATAACAGTAGCATGATAGGAAGAATATTAACAAGTGGCTGTATGAAATTTGTCATTTATTTTCTGTTTATTTTGTAGAGTCTATAATGCACTCATATCTGAAAAAGGTAGTAAATCAAAAGTAAATTAATTTGGAATCCAGCAATGTAAAACATTTGAGTGTACGAGAAACCACGATATTCAAGTGGACGTAGGCAGCTAGAAATGGATAGATAGTTTCAAACTTTCTTGATAGAGCTCGTTTTAGCTAAACTGCTCTACATTTCTCTGGTAAAAAAAATAATAATAAAAAACAATCAGCTTTGGCTTTTCATCCAACAACTTCCAACTTTCAAACAGGTTATCAATTTTTTTAAATTTTTTTTTCAATCCAAATAATAAAAGCTAAAAAAGCAGAAATCCCTTTTTTTTTTTCTAATCTAATGCTAAAATAAAAATTTTCTCGTAAGAATCCTCAAGTTCCAACATAAATTTCTATAACAAAGAATTTGAAAAGCAAATTTTTATTTATTTATATCTTTATGAAACCTAAAGGCAAGGCCTCATTCTTACAAATTACCCAAAAAAATATACTTCGTGTTCTATTTTTTGTAATTCTTACAAATTAAAAAAAAAATCTAATCTAATGATTTTTTTTACTAAATTTTCCTGCAATTTTGATAAATTATAAAAAAAAAAAGTCTACTCTAATAACTTTCATTTTACATTTTGTGTAATTTTATCAAATTACAGAAAAAAATCTACTTTTAAATAAGAATTTTGTTCTGCTTTTTCTTATACTGCAAGAAAATGGATACATAGCAATCATGTTTTGCAACAACTCAAAATATCATTGCAAAATATTCTTATATTTATGATTTTTTTATAATTGTTGATTAATTGAATTTTTTAATATTTTATACAACTATAAATTTTATCCTTGTAAATTCCTCTTCAATTTGTAACAATAACAAAAAGTTGTTGTCAAAACTTGTTTTTATTTGCTAGGATTTTTCAATGTTGTTGCTTAAGCTTTTTTAATATTTTATACAATGACAAAAAGTTGTTACACAAGTACTTATCAAATTGTAACGATAAAATATTATCGTTGTGAAAACTTATTTTATTTACAATGATTTTCAATGTTATTGCTTAATTTATTTTTTTAATATTTTATATAATGACAAAAAAGTTGCTACAAAAATTTTTATAATATTTGGAACAATAAAAAATTATTGTTACAAAAACTTCTTTTATTTACAATGATTTTTAAATGTTGTTGCTTAATTTATTCTTTTAATATTTTATAAATGACAAAAAATTGTTACAAAAATTTTTATCATGTTTGCAATGATAAAAAATTATTGTTACGAAAACTTATTTTATTTGTAACGATTTTTCAATGTTGTTGCTTAATTTATTTTTTTAATATTTTATACAAACAAAAAAAAAAGTTGTTCTAAAACTTTTTGTCATATTTGTAATGATAAAAACTTATTATTACAAAAATTTATTTTATTTGCAACAATTTTTCAATGTCGTTGCTTTACTTATTTTTTAATATTTTATATAACAATTAAAATGTTGTTAAAAAAATTTTTATCATATTTATAACAATAAAAAAATTATTGTTGTGAAATCCTAATTTCTTTGCAACAAATTTTAAATGTCGTTGCTTAATTTATTTTTTTAATATTTTTATACAATGACAAAAAAAATATTACAAACATTTCTATCATATTTGTAATGATTAAAAACTATTATTGCAAAATATTATAACATTTGCAATGACATTTCACAATCGTTGCTTAATTTCTTTTTTGTAAAAATATTTTATGTAACGATCATTTTTATCATTGCGAATTCCTATGATATTTGTAATAACGAAATAATTTGTTACGATATTCAGTTATATGTCGAATGATTTTACGGTGTCATTGCTTAATGAAATTTTTAATATTTTATACAATGACAAAAAATTTGTTGAAAATTTTTAATCATATTTATAACGAATAAATAATGCTTGTATGAAAAAATAAAAAAATTATTTTATATAATATAATATTTTTCTTCCAGTTAGTGATTAGAATCAAATTAATATTGCTAGGAAAAATTTGCTTTCATTTTGCTAGGAAAACATCTTTTTTCCTTTTGTTGTAGAATTTTGTAAAACAAACAGATAAAAGTAGGATAATTCATTGCAAAAAAGCCTACATACACTACATACATATCTTTTTGTATTGAACATATTTCTAAATACTTTGGTACTTTGGTAGCATTTTAGAAAAATATCCTAAACTATGATTTTTAAATAATTGCTACTTGAAATTCTTTTAATATCTTATCATCGGAGGATTTACATTTTAAAAAAATTTACAATTTTTTAAAATATATTTATTCAAAATTTTAAAATTTAAATATCCAAAAATAAACAAATAAATAACTTAGAAAAATATATAAAAATTAATAAAAAATTTACCAAAAAGGACCAGTGAAAGCCGATGAACAGTTTGGTAGCAGTTTAGACGATTTAGGCACGATTTAGTGATCCAGACACTGTTTAGACTGGTTTAGGAGCGATTCAAAAGCAGT